GACACCCCCTCATTACACTAAAAACTGATGAAAGAAAAAAAAATCAGGAATTTATTCTGCTTTTCATTTACCAATTATATTTCAGGATATGGCCGCCATGGAGGTATCACTCCCAGAACTCCCTTCAAGAAAGACCTTTCCAATTGGTTGTAAGACATGCAGTTAGCTGCCCCTCCTGCTGTTAGCACATTTAGGATCCACATTAGATTTTGAGCTGAGGCCACCTCTTTCCAGGCCATCCACAGACAACTAAGCTGGGCAGAGGACGCAGGGACTGGCCATTTCTACCAAATGGGGGACTTCTCCAATGGCCAGTCTTTACTCCAGAGGCCCTCATTGCATTGGGCAAGACCGTCTCTCCTGCTTCATGGCCTCAGGCTTCGGTTGTCCCATATTGCCCAATATGCCTTCCTTCCCTTTTCAATTTTCATAGGTGTTACCTCTCAATAAACCTCTTGCACTCTTGTGTCTCAGCTTCTGATTCCTCAGAGAGCCCGTCAGACAGAGATTAACCAGAAAGTTGATGATAGTTCTTCTTTATGAAAGTTAATAAATACAAAAGGAGTTAAAATATTAGAAAGTCATCTTTTACAATAATTAACCACTTACTAAGTTTACTGGGAAGGTAGTCAATCAATCAATCAATCAATGAACCTGAATCTAATCAAGCCTCTAGCTCTATTAATTTATAGGAAACACAGTGACTAAAGGAATAAATTAGAAATCACCATGAGAAATTAGAAATTGCCATGAGAAATCAATCAGGCAAGTCAATAATGTTGGACATTCTACAAAACAAATGACTAGGGTTTTTTTTTTCCCCAACAAATCAATGGCACTGAGGAAAAGTGAGAAATAATCCTCAACTCATAAAATTAGGTCACCATTACCCTGTTAATAAAACCAGGCAAGGACTGAAAGAAAAGAAAATTACAGCCGATGTTCCTTATGCACATGGATGCGAAAATTCCCGATAAACTGTTATCCAATTAAACCAAGCTATATGTAAACATTATAATACACAGAGATCAAGTGGGATTTATCCCAAGAATGAAAGGTCGATTTGATATTAAAGATATAATCAATGTAATCTGTAATCTTAATAGTTCAAAGAAGGAAAAGCACATGATTATATCAACTGATGCAAAAGGCATTTGACAAAATTCATTATCCATTAATGATTAAAAAAAAAAACCCCATCAAATTAGGAATAGAATGCAACCTCCTAAACCTGAAAAAGATCATCTACAAAAATATACTTTAAAAAAGTCAAAATTAATGTGAAAGCCTGACTACTTTCCCCCTAAGGTCAGGAACAAACCAGGATATCCATTCTCACCATTCGAGGTAGTGCAGTGTTGGCAAAGGGGAGATACATAGATCAATGAAATGCAACAGAGTCCAGAACTAGGGCCACACAAACATGAAAATGTAAGACTGGTTCAAATATGCAAATTGAGAAATACAGTCATTCGATTTTTACAAATATGTAAAAGCAATTGAATATTTTAGAAAAGGATACTCTTTCCAACAAATGGTATTCGAAGAATTAGACAACTATATGCAGAAAAAATGAACCTCAACATACATCTCACACCTAGTAAAAATTACTAAGTGGAACATAGATCTAAAGGAACAATGTACAATATAAAGTTATTAAAATAAAACATTGGAGGAAAACTTTAGGACTGGGGGTTCGGTCAAAGAGTTCTTAGATAAAATACCAAGTGCATGATCCATAAAAGAAAAAAAATTAAGGAATTGGAATTCATCCAAATTAAAAAGTTTTGCTTTACAAAACACACTGTTAAGAGAATGAAAAGGCTCGATGCCGCCTTTGGCCCTCCTGGGACGCGACAGCATGGGAGATTTGCGAGGCTACCACAAGGCAATGTTTCCCTAGCTTCTCCGTCTACCAAGGAGGTTGTCAGAGACGTTCTCTTACTGTTTAAGAGCCCTGATTGGGTCTGAGGCTTTTGGCCTCGCCATCCTCAAGGCACACCTGCAGCTATAAAGCTGCTTAGTAGCAACACGCCCTGAGCTCAGCAAGAGAGTCCCATTAATGTTCTTGCAGTCACCTGGTCTCCTTGTTTCACTGTCACCCTGTGCAAAGGCCGCAAAAAACTGACACTTTTGACTACTCACCTTTATACTCTCTGTTAGCAGTAAACTGAGTCTCAAAAAGGTTCATTTTCTTTTACAAGCAGAGTCTGTCAGCCTGGCTTTGCCTTGTGCTTGACAGTGTAGGGATATATGAAGAATCCTCAAAGCTCAACATTAAAAAAACAAGCAACCCAACTAAAAAGTGGACAGAATTCACCAGTGACATGGAAATAAGCAAGCTACCAGATGCAGAGTTCAAAACACTGGTTATCAGGATGCTCAAAGAACTCAGTTCATTAAGCATTTTGCTAAGAGAAAGGAGCCATTCTTAAAAGGATACATATTATATGATCCCATTTATATGACAGTCTCAAAATGAACAAGTTGTAATAACAGAGAACAGATCAGTGGTTGCCAGAACTTAGAGGTATAGGAAGACTGTGACTATAAAGAGCATGAGGGAATTTTTGTGATGACGGAAATTTTGTGTATCCTGACTACGCTGGTGGGTGCAGGAATCTATATACATACTAAAAATCAGAAAGCTAAAAAAAAGGTATTTTTACTGTAAGTATGTAAACCAAAAAATGAGGGAGGGGGCAAATTTGTTCTGTATTAATTTAAACAATGAAATTTGGACAGGAAGAAGAAAAAAGAGAAAAAGGAGAACTGTTATAAATAAAAGAGAGTTAGGAGACAATACAAAAATATGTAATTTGCAGACTTTGTTTGAATCCTGATTTGAATAAACTAACCACAAAAGGCATTCTTGATACAACCAAGAAAATTTTAATGTTAATTTGGAACTATATGTTAAATTTAAGTTCTTAAAGTATGATAATGACCTTGTAGTTATATAAAGAGAATCTTCATCAGTTAGAAACATACTCTGGTGTATGCGTGCGCGCGCGCGTGCGCGCGCTCATGAGTGTATGTGTGAAATAGGACTAAGTCTGGGATTTGCTTTAGAACAGTTAGGAAAAAGGTGGGGGAGATAATATTGGCGAATGTTGAAGCTAGGGTTCACTTTACTATCTTCCTATTTTTAAGTATTTTTGATGTTTCCTGTAGTTTCTTCTTAAAAATGGAAAATTAGATTTCAAAAATAGAGTAGAACTTTTTCCAACATATATTATAAAGCAGTAGACATGATAGGCATAAAGTTGGTTTCCATTGCAATGTCAAATCTTTCCAATGACTCAAAATAAATAAATGCTGTATGTGCCAAAAATAATACTGACATATGAAAAAAACCCAGTCTCCTAGAAATCTTATACCTTGAGCAATAAACTACTAAAATTACAAGATTTGCAGTTAGATTTTACAATAGCAAATCAAAACAGCTTCTTTTCCATAATGTCATTTCAATGACACCATCAGAGAAACAGAGGGTAAAAATAATGTTAAAGCAATAATTATAATTCTAAAAATCTCAGCCAGAAACCAAAATTATTTGGGCTTTTTGATTCTCATTAATTATTTACACAGTGCAGCTTTCTTGCTGTGTTGGTCCAGTCTGTTTTTCTAAGCATTATTATTTATTATTTCTTGAGCACTTAGCACTGTGTGAGATACAGATGATAAATTCCCTGTCCTAGAGGACAACAATCAAAGCCATATAAGCAAAACACAAAGATTAGCTATTTAAGAAATGAAAATCAAACGAAAGGTTAAGAAGCACATTCTGAACTCACTATTTTGCTTTGCTTCTTCTGGGGATGCAAAACAAGACTAGATGGCAAGATAAACAAGCCGTTTAGAAGAGATGGAAATCATCCCAGAGATCATTCCAAGAAAATATCCTACCTTAGCTATCCTTTCGGTGTCAGATATATAAAAATTACTATAACCTATTCCTAGCTCTAGTGGACTATTGTAGCTGTGTGCATGTGTATGTGAGTGTGTATGATTTAGGTCTGCCTAGCAGATTTTTCTGTTCCCTTTCTTTTGACAATACCACTCTCTGCTTCAGGAACTGTTTTCCCCAGTCTCTGTGCTTCTGATTGGACTGTCTATCATAGTGCTCCTTTCCTCTACTTTAAAATGATATTGCACTGAAAGATGTAGGCCTGGAGCAGCCCAAGGTCACTTTATAGTCCCTGTAATGAAATTTCTCTTCAGTGTCCATTAGGCCAATTTGCAAACAGAGTAAAAATAAGTGTGTATGGTGTAAGTGCTAGCAGGTCTAAGCCTTAGAATCAGGTCCTTGAGACCCTAGTTCCTACAGTTCTGTAGATTGTACTAGCTTCTCCACAATCCCTTTAAGCTAGCATATTCAAGTTTTTGCTTGGGGTGGTGGGAATTGTTCTTTTCATTTTGGCATTTGCACCTAACAAAATCTTAAGAAGTTAAATAAATGGCTCACAGTCCAATATCTCTTAAATGATAGAATTATTATTCAAACCCAGGTCTGTCTACCTCTATATAGCAGGCTTTTCTTTTTACGTTAATTTACTTTGCATCCTAAAGATGCTATGTTTCTAAAATTTAGTTTCTTTTAAGACTGGGAAAGAAAGGGAAAGGGGTTAAAAAGAGAGGGTTGTCTATCTAATCCTATATTGTTTTCCTGTAGTATGAGGGAGGCGAATGCTGGAAATACAGTAAATTCTAATATTATTTTCACTCATTTTGCATGGTATTGGATGCATATGAGTAAGAGCTCAAGCTGGCAATCATACAAACTTCTGCCCAAGAGCAAACCAAAGGTGTATAATTATAGGAATGGTATCAAAATATTTTCTCTCCCCTCTGCTCTACCCAGTTTGTATTGGTTGCATTAAAAAAAATGTTTAATACCAACAATACCAAATAAAATGTTTAGGTTTTCTAAGTTGAAAAAGAATACACATTTTTGTTTCCATTTAAAAACTGTTCCATTTCACCAGTATATGCAAAAAACAAAAAACAAGTATTAAAATGACTTTAGCAATTTACAAATTAAATTCTTGTTTTTTTATTAGAATAAATTTTAAGTCTGAAATCAAACATAATTTCCTCCTTTTCTGATTTTAGGTGTATACTTTTATTGCACTTATCATTTGAAATTATCTTGTTTATTTACTTTTTATATTACTGATTAATTCACTGAGGTAGGCTGTTCCCAAATAAAAGTCACTGTTTTGATACTGAAAAAATATACCAGTAGCTTAAAAATAAAGGATGATGGGTTGTTCTGTGTTCTCCTGTAGAATTGGGTGTCAGTAGGCGAGAGAACACACAGCCTTCTCTATGGGGTAGGCAAATGCTTAGCTGATTTGCTAGGAAGGCTTCCTGACTCAAGTAGAGCAGCTCTTCATTTATCACCATTTTACAGGGACTCTCTGCATACACTTTAGTTTGAAGAAAGGATTCCATTACTAAAAAACAGAGGCTTAGGGTAGGGTGATAGAATTCCACCATTCTGGGAAATCTGGAGCAAAAAATAGCTGAAATTATTTTGTATTCTAAATTATATTTTTTCCTTTCAAAAGCAATATGCTGTGAGTACTAGCAATGTTTTTGTAGTATAATAACAATTATTTGTCTCAATTTTAAAGATTTAAGTAATCGTACTTTTTTAGAATTTTAGGGAAAATGAAACACTAATGCTTCTAGAATTAGAAAATCTTTGCCTTTTAACTATATAAAAAATTAAAAGTTATACCTTATTTTTGAGAATTTTAGAATCTTGGGATTCAAAGGTTTCTTCTCCCATTGTGTTAATTTTATATCTGCATTTGATTTTTTTCAGTAAGCGAGCATCTGAAAACAAGTTTAGTGTGTCCTCCCTTCCAGGTTGCATTTTATCTTGAGTAGATTTAAAACCAGATTAGCTGTAATAGGATTCCAGGATGTGGGCAGATGTCTATTTGTCTCGGATGATGTCTCTTGCAATCAGCTCCTTCATTATTTCATTGGTACCACCATAAATTGGCTGAACTCGGGCATCCACGTAAGCTCTGGATAATTCAGAAGATGATTAAAGAGTAAATAAAAGATATTAGAAATTATAAATTTTGTGTCACCATATAACTGTTAATTATTTTAAAGTATTCACTTAATAAAATCCAAACAATAGAAGTTTTTCATAATTACTTTTTTCTAGTATGGCATTCATCTTCAATTAGTATAATTACAAAACTCTATTAAGAGACTGACCCTTTGTATAGCTTTGTTTTAGTTTGCTTAAAGAGATTATAAACTCACAATAACATTTATAGGTTTGTTTTCTTTGATTTAACTTTGTAAAATTCAGTACATATGGCACTCTTTAAAAAAGCCATTTTAGATTTAGAAATGGGTACAATGTTTTAATTTCTTGGTATCTTTGATGATTCTTAAAAAGTTGATATCCACTGGTTTTACAGAAACCAAAAGAGAAAAGAAAGTGCATTATCTTCTAACAACCCTTTAGATTCCCAGCACCACTGCTGCCATCAAGGGCATAAACAGATGTTTTAGAAAACATTGCTTCCCACAAAGTTAACAAGTAACTTATTTTCTGGAAATGGTTACTAGTCACTCCAGTAATGTATGAGGTTACCATTCTGATGGCTGAGTCCACTAGCGCAAAAAAACAGTTAAAAAAATTTACTTTTGGCAGCAATGATAGTAACAGAGACACTCTTTGTACCTTTTCTCATCTTTATCCTCTCAGCTCTGGCATCAGGGAGGATAAATATTATATTGCTTTGCAGGTGAAGGAACTGAGGTATAGAGAAGTTAATACATTTACTAATTAATGGTTGCTATTTGATGGTCAAATAGATAATTGGTTGACTGGAACAAGAAGGTAGGTATCTGCCACCTTGGCAAGTATTTCATTTATTATATTGTAATATTTTCACTGACCCAGGCATGCAGGATTTTCCTAGTAGACAAACTCAAAGGTATTTTTTTCTCAAGCATAAAATCTGTTTTTTTTTTAATTGAATTTTTGAGACAAATTAAATGTGATAGCTCGCTAAGAACATGACCAATTCTGGACTTACTCTTTACCATATTCATCATGGGACCTTGTAAAGAGTAAGCATTCAGTAAATATTTACTGATTTGATTTATTGTATTACAAAGGTATTTTAGTGTCTCAACATAAACTTTCTGAAAATACTTGAAATCTAGGGACATTTGTGTTTTCAAATATATACTTTTTTCTTTTGAACAAATTCCACTGCTGCTCACAAAATCCAGCCCTTGCATTTAGAGGGCATACCTAGCATTTCAGTCTACTTCTGCGATCTCAGTGCTCTCAGACATTTTTTGATTGGGTTGGGCATTTTTTTTTTCACATTACAGAAGTTCCAATGGAACTGGTAATGACAGAGATCAGTAGACCTTTTATAGGTTACTAATTAAATTCAGCCATCAACTAAAATTAACAAGAAAGGCAGCAGAATAAATGTTTAACCACACAAGGATGAAGCTCTGTGTCTCAGGCTGCTCTTCCTTGCATGGCAGAGAAGTCGCAAAACGGCAAAGACTGTCTCGCTTCTTACAGGCCCCACGCTCAGTGAGTAAGACCCAAGTGAACTCATGCTAAAGAGCAGTTACTTAAGAACACATAAACAAATAAATAAAATGAAACAAAAGAAAATATCTCTTTTATCTGTGAAACCAAAAGTCGCCACCACCGCCACCACCGCCACCCCCCACACACGTAACATAGCTTAATCTGAGGAGACAAGAAACACAAATAGAAGGATTTTTTCCTATTAAATCACAGCCTGTATACATCCACATACTGCCTAATGTGTCTAATTAGCTTTTTTGATATTATCTATTACACTCTCTTTTGTAATTTTATAAAAAATTCCTTCCCTATGTCTTTGGGGAGAAAAAGAGCAGTCCAGTTCAAAGGTTCATACAATCCTTGAACTAACAAGCTGGCCAAGAAGGGGATTATTATACACGAAAGGAAATATAAGTCTCTCAGACTGAAACCAGGGATTTCACATCCTGAGCCATTAAGCTACAGTTTTTGCTTGCTGCTGACCTGAAGGAGTAGCCTCTTGAGCCATGTGCATGGCTGACTCCTCTTCACCTAATGCACCTTCTTTAGAACCTGAACTAATCTAGACAAATGCTGAGCCACTGCTTGTCTGCTTTCCTAGCGCAGCTGTAACTGCACAGTTGAATAGAAAAATATAAACACCCATTATTATTTCTCTTTTCTAGCACAGTGAATATTGTGAATCAATTAACATTGTGAGTAAATCATGAAATGCACAGGAAATATTTCAGTGATGATTTAATTTATGGTAGCATAATTCAATGTTTACTTTTGATTTCATGACTATGCAAAGATAAAAAAAATAAATCTGCTTTGGATTAAGGTTTGTTTGAAGTAGTTCTAAAAGGATATACCAATATCCAAATTAAAAAAAAAAAAAGAAATTGTTTAGCTATTTCATGCTTACATTCCCAAGGAAGGAAAAAGCCCTGCTTATTGCTAAGTTTTTAAAGAAGGTTGTAAATTATATACATCCTGTGCTTAAAGCTTTATGAGCTGCCCAGTGGCTATAGAAAACTAGTAAATTATATCTATGGTGAAGCTTCTGTTCTTAATGTAACTTTAATAAAATGTTTATTTTCCTCATTAAGGACTATAAGTGTATCAAATGTTGCCAATTATTCTTGCCAAAATGATACATTTGAAAGTTAATTTGAGTACTAGTTTGATAATTTTCCTTTTAGATATCTGTATTTCAATTAAAATTAGAAAAAGTTTTTAGCTTTCTCATTCAGAACTAGGTTGGACTTCTCTTGATACGGCAAAGACCTTTCTTGGGAAAATTTTATGAACTGAAAATATTGCTAATTAAAAGGAAAGTATATTTTCTAGAGTGATGAAAAGAATTCCCCATAGGGAGATTCCTGAGGCAATTTCATGGACAGATAAATGGATAAAGAAAATGTAGTGTATATGTACAATGGAATGCTATTCAACCTTAAATCAGAAGGAAACTCAGTAATGTGTGGCAATGTGGGAAAACCTTGGAGACATTCTGCTAAGTGAAATAAGCCAGTTACAGAGAGACAAATACTGCACTGATTCCACCTATAAGAGTTATCTAAAATAGTAAAATTCATAGAATCAATGAGGAATAGTAGTTGCAAGAAGGCGAAGGGGAAGGAGGAAGATGGAGTGTTACTAATCAATGGGCTTAAGATTTCAATTAAGCAAGATGAATAAGCTCTAGAGATCCATACTATAACATTGTTCCTCTGGTTTGTAATACTCCATAGTACACTTAAAATTTGTGAAGATGGTATATCTTATGTTCAGTGTTCTTACTATGGTAAAATAAAATTAAATGAAGAGAACAGAATTAATAGTCACTCAAATTAAAGGAAGAATAATAAACTACTTTTTTACCTATTAGATTAACACTAAATTTAAAAGGCAATCATGTTCATAGCTTAGGAGGTAAGTCTTCAGACTTTGTTCATTTGAATGTGAGTTGCTACCAATTAGAGGAAATAATCTGGAAGTTATAAAAATTAAAAAGATGCATACTTTTGAAAACTAGCAATACTACTTTTGGGACTCTTCTATTGCAATCACAAACACATGTATCTAAGATAAATGTGAAAAGGTGTTTGTTGCAGCACTGTGTTTGTCAGAGTGAGAAACTGGGAAGAACCTGAATAATTATGGTTAATCTATAAAATAAAACATTATTCAACTATTTCAAAAGTGACATTCGTCCTTCAGTATAACAGTTCAAATAAAACCAAGCATCAAGCTTTTAGTATATTGGCCTCTTCACTTTCTTTAAAAATGTAAGATCCTAAGAGGAAGCCAGTAACATGATGCTGTTTCCATCTGCTTGAAGATACTCTGTAGTCAGTTGAGGAATGCAAAGATTTTGCATCTTCTTCCCTTCAATATACAAAGCACAGTAATTTTCCTTTCTCTGCATCATCCAGAAGGGTGTAACAGAATAGCCATACTCACTTTGCAATTGGGTACTCCCACATGTATCCCCAACCTCCATGGAGCTGTAAGCAATCATAAGCGACTCTGTTTTGTAATTCAGTAGCCCTAGTGAACAAAATATAAAAGGAATATTTGAAATACATTTGCATGAGGTGCTTCAGAATCGGGAAACAAATTATTTGTCAAATGCATAAATTTTCAAACAATTAAAAATAGTCATATTGCCCTGGCTTGTGTGGCTCAGTTGGTTGGGCATCGTCCTGCAAACCAAAAGGTCACCTGTTTGATTCTCAGTCAGGGCACATGCCTGGATTGCGGATTCGGTCCCAGGTCCGGGCGTGTGTGGAAGGCAACCAATTGATGTTTCTTTTTCACAATGATAATTCCCTCCCTTTTTTTCCCCTCTTTTCCTCCAACCCTCTAAGAAGTAAAGAAATAAAAGGCATATTAGCCAACCAGAGACATAATGGTAACTGTCTATAAATTATGTATGAAATAAATCTCAGGACAGTTTTTACATAATGAATACTTTGGTCATCAATTATATTTCAGGCTGGGCTTTTTAAAAAATTATATTATGGGGGGTGATTTTTCTTATTTTTTTATTTAAAGGTTGTGTTTATTTACTTTTAGAGAGAGGGGAATGGAGGGACAAAGAGAGGGAGAGAAACATCAATGTGTGAGAGAGACATCTATCCATGTCTCTCACACGGCCCCAGCTGGGGGTCTGGCCGGCACCTCAGGCACGTGCCTTGACTGGGAATCAAACCGGTGACCCTTTGGTTCTCAGGCCAATGTTCAATCCACTGAGCCGCACCAGCTAGGGCTAGGTTTTTTGTTAAGTATGGAAACAAAGTGTGGAAAGCATAGACTGTTAGGTTTTTGCTACTTCACACCTGAAAAGGATATAGTAAAAACTTGAATCTGGTCTAATTTATTTAAATTCTCTATATGATCTAAGTTAACAGTATAATTATACAACCATCTATTTCCCTCCGCCTTTGTAATATCTTTTTATTTTTCTCCAAAGATGTCACTTCCTACCTGAAGGCTACAAGTCTGAATTCAAGTAACTGTGAAAACAAATTTTTTTAGGGTTTTCAGAAATAAACTGAGAGTAAAAGTGAAAACTTAAGGGAGCGCACTACTATTGAAAGTGCATGCCATTATACAAGACACTTATTAAAGATTGCTTGGAAGATATTGTCCTTGAAGTACATATCTATATATAATAATATGAAACACTTGAGAAATATGCTCTTTTGATCTTATCACAATAACTTCAACTATCATTAAAATTTATAAGATAATTGGAAGAGATTTTTTTATCTTAATATAAAAAATAAGTTCAAGAATATTTTCAACTTATTTTTCAATAGCAGAAAACAAAGAAAAGTAAGCATGGACACATTTTCCTATTAAAAATAATTTTTAACTTGACTCAGGAACTAAAATAACAATATATTGTAATAATTAACAGACATGGCTCAAGGGCAACAATATTTGGAATTCAATAAATTTTTGTATTTGGCAAGTATTAATATTTTAGTGAAATATTTACTGGGCTATAACTAGTTTCTTCCTCTGCTTCCATATGAAGTACTAGTATGTCTAAAAACCTAGTGTTTTCAAGAACAGCGAAGTCCATAGCATAGCTATCTAAATATCTTTTTCCAAAAATATCTTATCTAAAATCAGTTTTACACTTTTTAAACTAGTCAAAGAACTTGCTGTTAAGTATAAATATAAAATGTCACTCCTCCCCCCAAAAATATCACCACCCAAAAGTGCAAGTTCCTAGTAATTCCACATCAATTTCAACCTGGCAATTTTATTATTTTGGAATCATTACATAGAGCACAATTCTGCATATTTTCCCATTCTACTTCTGATTAAACTGAACATAAGTTAATGATTAATGAAAGGAATTTTTTCTAGGTTATTTTTGGGCTAATGAGATGTGAGAAAGTTTGCTTTTAAAACAGAGGAAACCAAACCCACATCCAGAATCTGATTTAAACTGTGTTCTTGTATCTTAAAATATACAAAAGCTTTATAGGGGTCTTTTTTCCCCCCAATCAACTCATCTTCAATACCATTGCTAATCATCTTTAATACAAGTGAAAGTCTTTCTGAACTTAACGAGACATTTCTTTCCCCTCTTGTAATAGAGCATGTGTAACTTTTTTGGACAGTCAATTCTTCAGAAATTTTTCTTTGGTTTGAAAAACACCTTAAACAGGAAAATCCTGTCCAAGCTGCACATTTCACAAACAACAAAATGTTTTCTCAGAGAGAATTAAATGTAATTCTGGTTATTTCATGAAAGAATTGGGACTACTTCAGGTCTCGAGGTTTTACTGTAAATGCTTGGTTTTACTATACTGTCACTCTGTAGATAATTTGCGATTAAACTTAACTGAACAAACTAATCAGTCATCCTACTTCAGTCTCTTAGTATTTTATTTTCAATGGCATGCTAAAAGTTAAATACCGACTTGAGTAATTTTTAGCACATTTTAAATAGGTTTAATAGGACCTTTCAGCATTTTTTTTACAAAATTAGTTCTTACTGCTAGTTTTCATTTTACACAGCCTTCTTCCCTTAAGACCCTCAAGGCTGAGTTTAAAGTTGGAAGAATTCCGTAACAGCCTGTGCAAACACCACATTTTAATTACTGTGGCACACATACCAGTATTTCGCCATGGAAGCCGTGACAGAATCCAGGCGCTTTGCTTCGTGCAACTGGAGACAGCTGTCCACAAACGCTCTCGTTACACAAATGTGTGTTTTTAATTCTGCTAGTTTATGCTGCACCGTCTTGAGTTTAAAGAAAATGAAAGATAAAAATGAGCATGGCAGAAGAGCATGTTTTGGGTCATCAAGCATATCAAAAGTTACATAATGAAAGATTCCTTGAGCAAAACAAGGTTTTCTTGAGCATTACCAGGTTTTCTTTTTTTCCTCCTGAAAACAGGCCTTTGCTAAAGAAAGGGTTAAATTTAAAACTCGCAGTAGGTCATTGCTAAGGAAATTTGTACTAAAAGAAAAGACGCAAAGATAAATGCATAAATATCTTATGCTTCAGATTTTAAAATGCAGTCAGTTTAGGGAAGCGGCCTGAGAAACGCCATGACTGATGGGTGAGCACCATCTTGTGGTACAGCCCTTTAGGTACATCTGTGGAAAAGGTATTTTCCTCTGGAATTGAAATCCATGAAGTAATCACATTTCTCAATTCTGCATCTTTGTCTTGGCTTAAAGTAACAATGTAACAAGATGGAGTGACAACATACAAGTATGTAATGTTGCCAAGTATAGATGTGTAGAATGCAGTAAAAGAAAAACAGAACTGAGATCTCAACAGAGCAGGATCCATGCATCCCAACCTCCGCTGCCTCTCCCCACCCTTTTTCTGGTTCCTCTCAATAGCTTGTCTAGCAGAGTGTCTAACTTGAGCTGAATGGTCAGGAACTGTCAATGCTAACATACCTAAATACCTCCTCCTGCTGGTTATAGACAACCAATAGTATTCTTTCTATCCAGACCATCCTCAGTCATTCTCAACGTCTCTCACATCAATCAAATTTTCTTGCATTCCCGACCCTGGCATCTCACACCTTGAACTTAAAGTTTACGTGCGGTCTCCTTAGCACCAACTCTTGAACCTCTTTCAGAAAGTGGACTTGGTTTGAAATGCTGGCTTTCCATTTTGGGTAACCTCCAAAAATACAACGCATTAATTGACCTCTTAGGTTCAAGGCCCAGCTATATAGTCAGCAGGTTCTACCTTCCTTATGGAAATTCAGATAGAAATAGATTTTTATCATTGTGCTGTGGAATATTTGAGTGAGACCTTCACTGTGGCTAATAAAAGGAATGGGAGTTAGTGACAAAGATGACTCAATGAAACTTAACCTATAAATTAAATGTTCTCCACCTACACACTGGCAAGTCCAAAGCCATGAGTGAGTTCTCAAAGGAAGGTTTTGGGGACCAGATTTCAGAGGATGTTGGGCTGTCTTTATTACTGGTTACAGCAATTCTCAAACCACAAAACTGAACCTTTCAGTATCATCGTGGTGGCTAAAGTTTGGGTACTTCCCATTTCTGGAAAAAAGTAAAAAAGGAGTATAATGAGACCCAGGACCAGGCAAGATCAGGGTGTGTCAGGTGGAGTAGGCATCCTGATGGACAGAGGCCTCATAAGCGCACCACCGTAACTGCTGTGTTGATGAAAACCCCACCTGACTGCATGTCCCTTGGCTTTACACCATCCTGTTCTGGAAAACAACGTGACGGGCATCTAATGATTCCCAAACCAAGCAGTGGGAAGGCTGATGCCACACTTTCCCCACCTATGTACCTTGGCCTCTAAATCCGACCATGCTGGGTTACATCAAAAGCTTCTTCTCTTCTCGTTCTTTCCCTTACTTTTTCTATCTCCCTTTCCATTCATTTGATTAGGCCAAATCTCTGCCCTTTAATCAGCACAAAATTTTCCACTCCAACACCACATATCCAAGTTTACTCATAGAAATTCTAAAGATAGAACAAAAAATGAAAAAAGTGGGGAAATACTCTTCAATACATTGACAACAGATGAATATACATTCCAGGAAAATCCCTGAAACTTAGCTTTGAGCCTAACTTCCAGTTTAGTTCAATGACCCTTCATCTGGAAAACAAGAGGGAACCTGACAAGTTTCAAGATACTTTTGACTCAGACTCATTCCCGAGGATGGCACATTTGAGAATTTATAAACTCTTAATAGGAGAGAATCGAGACTTGTAAGTCCAATTCTCTCTCATGAGGGCTGTTCCAATGGGAATGCTGGGGGCTTCTAGAGGCAGCAGATGAATTTCAGACCAGGATGGATCCACTTAGAATTCTTGTGTCAGCAGATCTGGTGAGGTCCAGAGGTCTGACAGAACTAATGTCTTCAAGGGTCCATAATTTACCCCCTGGAGATAAAGAGATTAAATATTTACATATTCTTGGTACTGAGTTGGGTGTTACTATATGCAGATTGGTCTTTGCTCTTTACTGCAGACACCATGTCAGATTTTTAGAAATTTTTCTCTAATGAATGGTAGCTACTAATTGTACCACACATCATTAGCAAGGTGCTTTTGTGAACGATCAACATGCTCATAGCAGTACCTTTTAACATTCATTAGCAGTCACTAGGTAATACTGCAGCTAGCATTAAAAAAAAAAAAAAACTTCCCTGAAGTTACTAAGTAGACCAGATAACCAGATGGAGTCTCTGTCAGAGTTCTGAATGACGAAATTCTTAGAATCATAGAACAGTGGAAGTGGAAGACACCTTGGAAAGTTATCTAGCCCGGTATTCCATTTAAACAACACCATTTGTTGCACTCTCATATAGTACGCCTGAAATATAAAATGTAACAATCTAGGTTTGCCATCTAACTGTATAGTTAATTAATCCTAAACTAAAGACCCTAAGAAGATATTCCCTTTTTTGAGGGCCGTATGAAAGAAGCATTATTTTTTCCCCCTCTCCTCTCCCTTTTTCTAATATTTTCTGTCCTAAGAATTAAGAGCACATACCACCCAGGAAATAACTAAAGCTTGCATTAGGAAAAAGAACAAACAAACCAACACTGAATTTTCACTTCACTGAACATGGGTAAACATGGGTGGAGGGAAAGAAAAATAAAAAAGTCCATCTATCTTAAATTTCTGGGTAAGAAAACTAGTGTCTGAGTTAAGAGTGCAGATTCTGGAGTTAGAACAGCTATGTAACCTTGGGCAAGTTACTTAACCTCTCTATGCTTCAGTCTCCTTATTTGTAAAATAAGGAAAAATACAATAGTTATTACACACAGTTGCTGTGAAAAAAATGAGACAATCCATTTAACAGTGTCTGGCACATAGACACAATGTAAAATAATGATAAATGACAGCATTATAATTATTTAATATCTGAATTTTACAGTTCTATTGTCTATTCCATGGAAAATCATAAGACTTAACATCAAACATAGAATGTGTGAACAAAAAGAAATGGAAATCCTATAACTACTTAAGTATAGTAGGTCTCTATATTAAAAAAAATAAATTTTTGTGAAACACATCCATGGTTAGATGGCTAGAGAGGACAATATTTAAAATCAAGGATAAAAAAGAGAAAGAAAACCAAATTTTTTATATGGTCATAAAATGACATTTGGCTAAGTATAATATGGTATTTAAAGGTCTTCTATTCCAATTTAATAACTAGAACTACAGCACACCCAGCTCTAGAACAGGCTGTGTAGGCATGTGCTGGTCCTTCACCTTTTCTGAATACATTAAATTCCTAGATTGAATATTAAACTATTATTCAAAGATATTTAAAGAGGAAGATTATAAGAAATATCTCAGAAATCTCAAAACATACATTTACTTGGAAAACAGTACTAGTCACAGCAATTAACATAACCGTGGAAGTATACTACTGTCACCTAGTGAAATTTTACTAAACTACCTCTGAAAGAAGCCAACCAAAAATTGGCACCGTCTTTGCAAGGGATTAAAACTATTCTTTTTGTTATCATACACAAACACATACATATACACAAATTTTTCCCTCACATTTAATGTCTGGAAAATGTCAAACCACATTTAACATTCTGAGCTATACAATCTAGCTAATATTATAGTCATCTTTGTTGTGATTTAATATGAATTCCATAAACACAGGAATTGTATATTTCCAAGGAGATGAAAAATACGACTATTTGGTTAATTTTTTACATTATTCAAAATAGATCTAAATGCATGAGCATTTAAAAAATATTTTTGGTGTGAAAGTGGTGGTATCTGGATTTCAGAAGCAAGTGCTGCTAATTCCACCATGGGTACCGCTGGGAAAGTCATGGGGTGATACCAAATAGCAGCACTCCCTTTATGTTGCCAGAAGCCTACAGCGTGGACTTCCAGAGTCATACCTATAAAATTCCATCTGGGCACACCACCTTTAGAAGGCAATCAATACATTTTTGCTCTGTGAAACAGGAAGGAATATGTCACATATGTCAGTATTTTTAAATGGGAGACTAAGGGCATCTTGAGTGAGACTACTAGTTTTCCTATGTTGGGAAATGCCCCACCTGGTTTCAGGGACTGTAGCCTTGATGCCAAGCAAGAGGACCCCAAGGCTGGAGCTAATCAAGAGGGCCTTGGGAAAACAGGCCACTAAGGAGATGAAACCTATACACTGGCAGGGGCTCAGCCCCTGCCCCCCTCACATCCCCTTGCTTGACCCTGTGATGGTTGGTGATCCATGATGGGTAAGTTTTTCTCATGCAGAGAAAATGACCTAAGACAGGCATTGGCCAGTATGGGTAGTAGGACAAGGACTTGGGGGAACACGGGGAAAGGGCAAAAAGGCCCGCATACCTCGGTTTGGTTTGGACCTGGCCAGAGTCCTCGTTCTACCTGAAAGTAGTCTCCTAATCTCTTGGTGGCTCCGCCCTGCCCGCCTGGCTCAGACTTGAAACAATACTAAAGGCAGGCACAGCCCTAAACTGGATTGGGTGGTTCCCGGAGATAATCAGGCCTAGAAGTAAATTTCTCTAAACATGCTTTGTTGGCTCAAAGTGGGAAGGAGATTTACATTATTCATAGACCCTGAGTGGGGCAGATCCCTTGTGTTCCTCCAATTGTTATCTATGTTCCCTATTTGTTTTCAGTAAACATAGCCTTTTGACTTTGATTGATGAGTTTTGTTGTAGACCCCTGTGCCTACGGTTCTCAATAAAAGCCTTTGGACCCGGGGGCTTGGGGCTTTTTCTCCGCTAGAGAGAACTCTTTTCCCTCTCCTGGCAAACAGAAATTTTCTGCGACAATTCATTTTGTTTGCCCCCATCCGTGACAACCCCGGCGGGACAGGCTCTGTAGGATCAGAGCCCTCGCTCCCACCTCCTCTGGCCCCAGACAGTAACCCTCAGATTCAGGAGCCCGGCACTCCCAGCCGTAGTCTTACGAAGTGATCTCTGAGTTACAGAACATTTAACAACACTGGCCTCCAGGGCTTACATCTGCAGTCTTTGTACCATCTTTCCCGACCTTTCTAAATGCCTGGGGGAAGAGGGCAGTTATTATGAATCGCTGATATGTGTGGAACAGTGATACATAAATGCAAGGGAATATAAAGTATAATATTTAGGGAAGTCAAATTGTGGGGGACAGTGAAGGCTGACGTTAAAAGCCAGGTTAAGCTCGTGGTAGGGCCACACTCCACCGCTCGTATCTGCAAGGCAGAGCAAGCTAGCAACTGGGGACAGCCCAGGGCGGGGGCTGGAGGAGTGAGGCGGGGCGGGTTGAGAATGGAGGAGATAACCGCAAGCTTCCGGTTGAAGACAGACTGCAACCTTTGCAGAAGGAAGTTTTATCGTGTAGATAGCCTGGGCACAGAGCATTCCATGCCCGCGGGATCCCTTAAGTCTGCAAAACTCTCTTTAGCTTTATCTAACCAACCCCTATAAAAAAAACGTGGAGACTGTGGTCATTGTCATTGTCTCTCCATCAAAGGACAATGTCCCATCTGGCCCCTGCTTTTCTCTAAATTGTCTTGTGTTGTGTCTTTGTGTTGTGTTGTCCTTTCTCAATCTCCAGTCGCTCCCACTCAGGGACTGCCACCCTGCGTGGGTCGCGGTAAGATCGTACTATTTTTTTAAATGTTTTCTTGGCTAAGTGTGTGCCTCATTTTATAATTCAGGACAATTGAATTTAGATTGGTTATATCGATAAGAAAGTTGGGATGTAAAGAAATTTTTTTTTTCAGAATGGGAAAAGTTAACTTGATGAATGTATAGGCAGCAAATAGGCCCTAAAAGACATGGAGTTGGTCCAGACCAGGAGCAAGGAGCTGATAAAAAAGCTCCCGTTGGTGGAACAAAATAGAGAAAGACATTATGTAAACGGAGGTGGGGCTAATTTAATGAATGCTTACTTCATTAATGAATGCCAGACAATAGTTTGAGCACTTCATGGGTGTTGCATCATCTAATCCTCACAGTAACTCCCTGAGGTGGTATTCACATCTTTCAAATAGGAAAATATTTCTGAGAGGGAAACTACAACTTGCCTAGACCACAGATATACAAGTAGCTGTGCTAGGATTTAAACCACAACTGAACTTAATTTCTACAATGCTGGTTCTAAAAAGTTGCTAAAGTGTTTCATCTCTCCTTTTCCCTTCACAAAGCCTTCAGCCAAGTCATTCTACTTAAAACTTTTCAAGTGGATTTCCAAACCCGGGTTTTTTTTTTTGCTGGTGAAATATTTCACCAATATGACGACTGCATTGTTTACAAACTGTTTGTTCATTAAAGGTGACACTAGACAGCCTAAAATTTGATTGGCATGTTTAATGATTATGGACATCGTATACTGAGTTCTTCTGAAAGTAGAACTTTCAGAACTTTCTCTGTGCCAGAACTTAGGCAGCTAAATCCATCTAGAAAAGCTGATATACAAAAAAGTAGATGGTCCCCCTATACATTCATGATCAATGACTTCATCTGGGTCCTCAATGCTGCTTCCAGACTTACCATGTTTTTCTAGTTAGTTCAATCTCTCATTCTGAAGAGGGGATCTCAAACACCCAATTAACATTCACAGCCAACTCAGGATGGAGTTGCCTGCCATCAGTACATCTTTACTCCATTTCCATTTGCTCCTCTACTCCCTCTATTCTGGCACCGCCCCCACACCAGTCCATTAACGGCTTTTACAAAAACACCTCCGTATCCTGACGTCCAGGGGGTACTCTTTTACCTTCCTCTTACTTTCCCTCCAAGCAGCTTTGGGTCCCACTTCCTTCGACTTGAAATTCTCTTTTCCTTCAGCCTCTGTGACCCTTGCCTGATTTGCTTTCTCCTTTTTAGGCGTTCATCCCCAGCTGCCTTTGTAGGCTTTTCCTTTCCGAGCCCACCTTTAAATTCTGTTGTTATTTTCCCCTTGGGATTCTGTCCTAGTGTAACGGGGCACATCCCAGGGCCCCCCCACCAAAGGGCATTTGTGACGGGGTCCAGAGATTGGGGTGTCCAAGAAAAATATATTCTCCCCACCCCAGGGCGGGCTGCTACGGGGGATGGGAGCCTTGAGCAGGGCCATTGAGAGTCATTTTGCATGTCAAAAACAGGATAGCTTCATTCCCCATATGCAAAGAGGATTATTTTGCATATCACCGAAGCTAATCAGGAAGGTTTAAAAGACTTAATACAGACTGTAACTGGGAGGTAGGAGACTGGGGCCCACAGGAGATACAAAGGGACACAGACTCTGGGGAATGGTGTGAAGACCAAGTGGGAAGAAAGAGGGGAGAAAGGACTCTTGCTAGTGGGCCCGGGAGAAGGTGCCACGTGGTTATGGATTAAGGGCTGGAGACCGCGGCGACGCAGTGGATGGTGCTGAGACCCGCGAGAGGCCTGCCGAGCTGAGCCCTGGACTTCTGTTCTTTTTCTTCCGAAGGACGGTACCCCTGACTGGCCTGACTGGCCTAATTGGGCAAAGGGGGGAAGGCAGGACTGTGTGTGCTGGTGATTGTTTTAAAGGGATTTTGATGTCTAAGAGCGACATTTAGCCATTAATCAAACCTGTTTAACTTCTGAATAGTTCCTTTCCTTTTCACCAAACTCTGCCGTTCAGAGCTATAATCCCAAGGGCGGTGGGAAAAAGGACCTACGACCGAGGGACACTGAGGAAGTGGGAGGGTCATTGTTTGGGTAATAGCCTCTGAGTACCCTCCCCCGCCACGGGTCCATTTGTTCGGTAACTCTAGGACCTGTTTGTGTCTCACTGTCTACCCTCTCTTCCTTGGGGATCTCACCCACTTCCACGGATTCTAACACCACCTCAATGAGATTTACTCCTTATTGATGTTTAGCCTAGACCGATTTCAGAAGGGTAAATTGATATCTAATATTAACCATGATGACAAGCTTACCTGTATCTGTGCAACTGTTTTCCCAAAAGCTTTTCTCTGTTTAACGTAGTCCTTGGTTTCTTCAAACATGAATTCACTGGCTGAAACTGCTATGTCAGCAATCATGATTCTTTCCTATAACCCAAAAATTAGGTCTTGAACATTATTCTAATTACACAAGTGATTTTCAAATGATTTCAATGATAATAAATCCCATAAATAATCTTACTAAAATTCCAATTAATTTATTTCTCTACTCTATAAAAAATGTTCCTACAGAGATTTCTAAGAATATTTTGATATGTCTGTAATAACACCCTAAAGTAAATCCTTTATGTTTACGATTGTCTAATTTACTAAATTCCCTCCTCTCTTGACTCATCTATGAGAAAAGGAATTCTGAAATTGTTAGTTTTTACTTACTGATCTCTGCAGAGCACATACCCTGCAATATCTATGGAAAACAACATTTTTAGGTACGTAGGTTAAATTCTGCCTATTAGAATAAAAGTATTCAGTTAGTTCAATTCCATCTTGCTGGCGATTTATATTCCATTTCTTTTTTAAAGATTTTATTTACTTAGTTTTAGAGAGAGGGGAATGGAGGGAGAAAGACGGAGAGAAAGACGATGTGCTCGTTCGTGCACGCTCCTAACCCAGGACCTATGGGTCCTGGCCCACAACCCAGGCATGTGCCCTGAGTGGGAATCGAAGTGGTGACCTTTTGATTTGCGGGAAAATACTCAACCCACTGAGTGAGCCTCGCCAGGCAGGGTTCATCTTCCATTTCTGTGCCAGTGTTCCTAGCCTTTGTCCCCAGCTTTATGTTTAGCCCATGCTGTGGCATTTTCTAGGCAGGTGCAGCCTCTTACGCTGGCATGTCCCAGGCTCAACGATTACTCAGCAACCACACTCCAAACACACAGATGTGAGGGCTCACCCTATGTGTTTAAAGTTATTTAGTCTGTACTTAACAGTTTTTCCCTTTGATTCCCGGGTACTATTTAAAAAAAAAAACAACAAAACAACCTGCCAGATGTTTTGGCTGATATTTCTTTACAGAAAGATAATAATTCTTGACTTGTGGTTCAGAAACTAAAATTGTTCCAAGAAGGAATCACAGAACTGAAATACCTATTTTCCTTACCCATAAGTTTTGACATATATCCTGGAGTTCAGTTATTTACTTATGTAGCCTACAACTATTTTTTTTTCTACAACTTTAAATTACAGTCAAATGATTGGCTATATCACAAGTTTTATATCCATGGATTTATATAGTTCTTTATAACTTTATTACAGTCTATTATCTAATCAAAAGGCAAAATCTTTAATACTTCTCACCTGCGGAAGCTCTTGCATGAGGTAATAGAAGCCCTTATTCTCTTCTCCAAGTAGAGCACTAGCTGGCAACCTTACATCTTCAAAGAATAATTCTGCAGTGTCCTAAAGGGACATACAATCAAGTACAACATTACTCATTGAAAGCTCACAAGAACCTACTGAAGAGATTATTTACATGTAAGAAAAAAAAAACGCCCCAAAACTGGGAGCCAAATTGGAGTAGTTAAATGAACACAACCAGTAAGGGGTAAACCAGGGATTCAAACTCAGGTTCATCTGATTCCAAAACTGGCTTTACCACTACATTATATTCTAGCTCCAATATTGTCCCGATTTGTAGGGACTGAGAACTAAGGATTTCTGATGCATATCAAGTAAAACTTTTTTTTTCTTTTTAGTTTTTAAAAAATTACTAGGTAGTTACCAAATAATATAAAAATACTTTGTTTTTATTTCATAATTTTCTTTAATCAAATTCAAAGAGGGATTATTATAATTTAATTTTGTCATTTCTAAAGCAGATATTTAAGATATCCTGATTCACTTCCATTGTTGACCACCAGAAAGAGATACAGTTGCATAAACAGTAGAATAAATCTCCATTATCATTTCTGAAAAGTATTTTTTTAGGAATTCAGCATTGGAAGGTATGACTGTTTTATGTAGTTTTATATCTCATATAAGGTATAATTGAGTACATTCAATTATGTGTAAACAATAACTTCTTAAACATTGAGTAAACTTAATTATTACCTGAATATGATTTATATTTTGACCTACCTGAGCTTTTAGTCCTATTTTATTTAGCTTTCGTCCCTTGACAAATCCTTTCATTCCATTTTCCACCAGAAAAAGGCTAATGCCATGAGCAGGAGAGCTAGCTTCATGATTTGTGATTGCTACTACGATCACAGCGTCACTTAGCCACCCATTAGTAATGAATACCTGAAAAACCCCAAGCATACTTGTGATGCTCCACGATAATCCAAGTCCATGCGCAAGTCATGACTAGGGGAAAGTATAGTCAAGAATATTAAACCAAACAATGCATACTTTATAACTCTCTCTCTATTTTATCCAAGTATCTGAAGTGTTAATTATTTATACATAAGGTTATTAAAGTGTAGAAGGAAAATAACCCAATGCTTCAAAGAATGAAGTCTACAGGCCTTACAGAAAATGAGTATCTTTTTTTTTAACACTCAGACAACAACAAATATACTTACTGAGTATATACCAGACACAATTTTAGATAAACCCCTCTACTATCAGTGATATTAGATTCTAAGGAGTATATATATATATATATATATATATATATATACTCTTTAGCTTTCCAGTTTGATCAGTGGGTTGATGTGACTTTCAGAAAGATTGAAGGGCCCTCAAATTCTATCAAAGATATCTTCCTCTCCTGAGATCTTTGGAAATTCTTCCTGATATTTACAAGAAAACATTTTCCCCAGTTTCTCATCAATGTCAAATTGATTAACTATTGTTTGTTGCATATTTGGACAATGAGCCTTAGCTTCACCTTTCCTGGTTTGATGAGGATTGTTTGGAATCTAAAATAACATTTTCTGTATTAGAGATGGGGCAAGCAAATGGAACATAGAAATGGAATAGATCTTATATAAAAGTTGCAAAATTCTAACTCTTGGTAAAACACAAAAACTCAGTTCCTGTGAACTCAAATAATCGCGGATCCTGTGCGAGTCTCCTTACACTTGGCAGTCACTGATCAGTAGTCTTTGAGACGCTGTTACCAGAGCATGACTGGAGAGAGGGGATCGGGAAGTCCCTCTTTACAAACCTTGCTGCCATTAAGAATCCAGTCACTCCCATCCTTTTTGGCATTTGTTCTTATTCCTTGCAAATCACTGGAATTGAAAAAAAGGATAAACATTTCATTATTTAATAAAAATTCAATTATGCCTATGTTGTTAGGTAAGTGTACATAGAATATGATCATTTGAACTGGTTACACCATGATAAAATTGATCTTTAGTATTAGGAATGTTCACCAAATGCAGGCGATATTCTATACAAAGGAGAAAATGATTTAATAAATATTTTATATCCTGGAATGAACATTTAAAAAAATACATTCTTTCAGTATTTCTCCATGGAAACAGATATACACATGTATGCATTACTATAAAAACGAAACCATACATATGATTTTGACCTAATACCCAATGTTTTTCTGTAAGATACATTTTATTAGCAGCATATTTTATTTTGTTTTATTAAATAAATTTATATTTATTTAAGTAAATGCATATTTATTTCATCCTATGGATTTATAATGATTTAAAAAAAAAATCTGTTGTTGAGGTAGTTCAAAATATCCTATAAAGACTAATCACCCCTGAGGATGGCAGGTGCCAATTCCTAGACACTGAAAGTGCTACCTTATATGGAAAATGGGTCTTGCAGTTGTTTAACTTGAGATGGGGAGGTTGTTTGGGATGGTCTAATGGGCCCTAAATGCAATCACAAATGTTCTTCTGAGAGTCAGAGAGCGAGACTACACAGACAAGAGGCAGGGCAGTGTAACCAAAGAAGCAGAGAGTGATGGGCTCGCAGGGCAAGGGATGCCTCAGCCACCAGGGGACAGAGGAGCAAGATGTGGATTCTCCTTACTCAAGGTTCACACGATCTCTATGTTTTTATACAGGTTATTATGATAGCCAAATAAGAAAATCAACATGAAAGCATATAAAATATTAATGTATTATACAAATATATATAATTATACATAATGGAATCCCCTACATATGTGGAAGGGAAAAAAGCCAGAGAAGCCCTGGATCTTTGCCAGCAAAATCAATCTTTTTCTCTGAAGGCCAAATCAAAGCAAGAAAATGGCGTGGCCAAGCCATCTCTGAAAGCAGGTGAAACGAACCACGTTCCATCTTCTTTATTCTTCCCCTCCCATAGGCTTTTTATTTTTCACTTTTTAAAATTTATTTATTTACTTTTAGAGAAAGAGGAAAGAAAGGGAGAGAAACATCACATCAATTGGTCGCCTCTTGCACGCCCCCAACCAGCTACCCAGCCTACAACCCAGGCATGCGCACTGACCAGGAATCAAACCACCAGCCCCTTGAACGGCAGCCCGGCGCTCAATCCACAGCACGGCGCCAGCCAGGGCCACATGCTTTTCCTTTCTTTCTCACTATAATTCCTCAAGTCTCTAATCATCTTCACATGCAACTTTTCTCCATTTTTGCATTCTTTTATCCACATGGCCCCTTTTCCTGTCCCTAAATATCGAACTGATTGGCTATCTTTCCCTTACTCTCACCAAACTTCCCCAAAAATCACCCTCTTTTTTCCCCCATTCTTATTCTCTTTTCTTTGTAATTACATAATTACGGATGAGGACAGAAAATTTAAACAAAAGTCAAGCAAGACTTTGTATGGATTAAGTTGGAAATACATCAAGATCCCTCATTGTTCTGTTGCCTCTAGGTCAGGGCTAACATGCAGTCGGATGGAACTGGTACGATGCATCAGAATACTGGGCTGTCACCCAGTTATCTTAGGGAACTGTCTTAAAAGCAAAGAAGATTAAATTTCTACCTCTTTTGGGTCACAGTTTTAGGCAAAAGAAGTAAGCAAAAACCTTTCACTTGGGCAAAATTTAAGCATCAATATTGGCCTGTAATTACAGGTTTGTATCTGGGAAAGATAAACACAATTTAAGCATATTGCCAAAGGACACTATGAATATTCAGACATTTTAAAATAGCACTACCAAAAGAGAAAATTTAAAACATTAGGGCCTGATGTTTGCAGAAACAAGTCTTAGATTTTTATTTTTAATTCTGCTTTGCCACATCTTTTAAATTCTTCCTCTTCATTGTCCGTTTCTTATTGACATGTAAGTTGCTGTTCTCTTTAACATAAACCATTTCGCTTACCGTGTTGGCTTGTCAACCGACTGTCCCTTCTCTATACTTCCTTTCACCACCCAACTCGGGAAAGGTCAGTCTGTATCCTCTACCTGTTTTCTCAATACTCGTATCACTCCTTCCAAAGTGACTTCTGCCCTTCCTCTCTGTTGAAATCACAATCAAATGATCACCGGTGGACTGCCACAATACTTTCTTAACCCCTGCGGCTTGACATGACTAATTCTTCACCCCAATCCTAGCACCTTTCCAAACTCGCTTCCATTTGTGCTCATGATGGAAATGTCTAGATTTCCTTCAAACTCAATCCTTCTGTCTTTTTTGCCACATTTTTGGGGGGTTATAATTTCAAGGGAAACACAATACCCAAGCTTTCCACCCTTTCTCTTTATTCCTTGAAATCTGGTTCTACCATGAGACATCCAGATATTCTTGAATAACTGGTTATTTTTCATCCATCAGATCTTATTGTAATTATAACCACTTTTCATAGGCTTTTTTCAGCAGTCATATCTAAATTTGTTTTTCCCCTTCCCTACCAAACACACATGCACCATTAGCCTCTCTCTGACAGAGTACCTTGTTTTCTTCATAGTGCTTATCACCATTTATAATTGTGGATATATTTGTTTGTTTCTTATTCTCCTTAATAAGTGCGTAGGTTGCATCTGTTTTGCTCACCTCTGTCTGTATACATGGCACACTGAAGGGTCTTACTAAGTAATTGTCAAATGACTGAATAAACAAACATTCATTTTTATGAATGGCTTTTAAAACCTACTGCCTCTCCAGCATGTCTCCAGCATTCCAAATCCATATTTTAACAGCCTGCCAAACATTACCATGTGCATGTTACACCGCATTTAAAATTCATCATGCCCAAAATTCAACTCATATCTTACTCTTTTTATTTGCATTACCCTGTGTAAATAAGATCTCAAATACAGCAGGTATTACAATCTGCTTTATTGCTATTTCTATATAAGGACTTATTTTCTCATTGGAGTTTGAAGCTCCTTGAAGGTGTGAATTATGCCGTGTTCATCTTTGTATTCCACCTAGCATACTGCTCATAGTTTTGTATAAAGCAAGTACTGAGAAAAATATTTGCTGGTAGAGCATTGCTTCCTTGTCTCCAAAAACCAATGGAATGTTCATTTACCTTCCAGCCCCAGGCTCGGTCATTGCTATGGCACCAATACATTTTCCTGCAGTCATCTGGGGGATGAAGCGCTTAATCTGTTCTTCTGAGCCATAATTTGCAATATAGGGCATGGCAATATCTGAGTGAAGAGTAAAACCTGGGCCTGTACAATTTGAATAGGCCCTCGGTGGGGGGGGAAAAAGAAAATTTAAAGCATAAAATAGCTATCTTGTTCTGTTTTTAGTTTCTTAGATTTTCAATTAAAAAAACAACAAAATATTAAAGGTCTTAGTGTTACAATAGCATGTCTCCCCCCAAACCTATAAGCTTCCTGAAGGTTTTCTCACTTAGTTTTTACTATTCTTTTACTTTCATGTTCTAACATAATAACAGTACTCTAATAAAGTTGGATGAAAACTTAGTAAATTAAAAGATAAAACATTTAAAAATATTAATCAACTACAACTGTATTACCCTAACACAGCAACTATTTTCATTTTGGCAAATTACCTTTACCATAGCAATCTATTCTAATATAGCTGTAGTCATGGCATGAATTTTGCACTTAGCTGTCTTCTTTTACAATTATATGAAAAAATCCAATGTTTTTACATAGTTGTCAATAATAATCTTAAACACTTACAAAATATTACAAATTGTTTATGTACTATAATTCACCTTTTCATTCTCCCACTGCCAGACATTTAGATTGCTTCCAAATTTGGGGATTGTGATCTAACATGATATCTATATTTTTGATCCCTGAAACATTTATTGTTCTACTTTATAATGTCACCATAAAGCGTTCAGGAGTATGTCATTTCCACTGCAAACTTGTCAGCACTGGGTATTATGATTTTTCATTTTCCTTACTTTTTTGTAGGTAATCAAAGTGATATTTCAGTTAATTTAATTTGCAGTTGATTGGTAGTAAGGATGAACTTTTTCATCGAAAAAACCTACCAACATTTCTTTTTTGCTGACTTGGTTTAAATCTTTTGCCCATTTATCAACTAAAATCTTTATTTGTTCTTATATTTTAAACTTTTAGTATATTTAATGGAAATATTTTTCCCACTCTTCTATTTTCTTTCACATATCTTTTTAAAAGAGAGCAAAATAACCAAATGGGTCAATTAGAAATAAAACTGTCTCTTTAATTTTCAATGGCACCTGTTTAAACACCTTAAAATGGGATTTTCCTACCTTCCTTCATTTAAAAAATGCACAAGAGTATATGGGTGATAGAAACCTTCACATTTTACACTGAATTTTCAATGTCATAAAAAGATTAGAAAGCATTATTTATGATCACCTTAGAAAGGTGAACAGTGTGCTTACAAACAAGACTCATCTTCCAATGTCCCCATACTTACTGCTCCTCCCAAACAACAGCTGCTGAGTAAATGTCCCCGCCAATACCGCCATGACGCTCTGCAATATTGACACCGAGCAGTCCTTGTTTTCCAGCTTTTTCCCAAAGCTCCCTACTCACTTCTCCAGCTTTCTCCCATCTGCAAATAGCAAACAGTTTAAAATCAGAAAAGGTGTGTTCATAGCACTTTTAAAATCGACAACTGAAATTCATGAATAACTTTATGCAGAAGTACACTTTTAATTCCAGGCAATTGTTTTTGACATCATCAGTACCCTTCTGTTTGCATCGGGCCATTTTATTATCTCTTACTTCACATTTACCACTTGCGCCCCCTGTTCTCCCTCCTTTCTATTTGCTGGACCCTCAAATTGCATCCACTGACATTCATGGCTGTGGTATCAGCTGAAATCTTAGGCAGCAAGCATAGTTGTGTCATATAGTTGTGGAATTTGCCCAACCTGTTCTGTAAAGACAATTGCTGTCTGCTTATTTCCTTAAAGTGCTGAACTTATGGGATAAGCATATACAAAGAGACTGACAAGAGCAGCCACCATTATTGCAGTTTAAGTAGGAACAACAGAAGAGGTGTGTCTTTAGGCACAGCTCTGTCAGATGAACTTCTGAAAAGATTATGTGTGTGGGTAAGAGTGCACCTGTCGTCCTTTAAAAATGTCATGATGAAGAGAGAGATGGCTAGCTGGAATTAGTTAGAGAATCTGAGGATTTTTTTGAAGTGGTAGCTGGGTATAGTTAGTAAAATGTGTGGTATTTGAAAGTAGTGATTAAAAGTAAATACAGATACTTCAAGGAATTTTAAAGAGTTTGATTATCATGTGTTGTTTTTGTGTGTTTAGTATACTGTCTGAAGTAGCTTTGAAAATAATTTTATTATCAACTCCAATTTGTCCACTTTTATCATTTTTACTTGAAGTTCTCACCAATATTCCAGAAAAAAGTAAATAAATGAACAAAAAATTCTCTTAGAATGAAGTATACTACATTTCTTGTCTTTAAGAAGCTTGTTGCTTTTTATCAAAGACTAGTATATGGCATCAGAATTTAGCTAGCTTTTGGTCAGTCTTACCAAGAAGTATTAATAAAAACTTAATTGAAAGCTATTTCTAAATAATTTTTGAAAACGATTCTAATTGTAGGAAAGTACTGGCATTGAGTAAATTTTGGAAATATGGCAAAAATCCTATTTTAATAAAAATGACAATTTTTGGTCAATAGAGCTGGTGATCATTAATTAATTAATTAATCAATCTCATCCAGTAATAAAAACAATACTTTAAGGTAGCCAGTTGCCTACCAAGATTTGCAGTATGCTGCTGTTTTGAGCTTTTATGTATTTTAATTCATTCATGAAGCAGGAAAAGAATATGGAATTGACTAATATTTTATTGCCACTTAACCAGTTTTCAAAAGTCTTATTCTTAGATCAATTTGTAGGTTTTCAAATTTTTTAAATTCAGGTACAACTGATATATGATAGTACATTAGTTTCAGGTGTAGAACATAATAATTCATTATTTATATATATTGCAAAATGATTACCACAGTAAGTCTAGTTAACATTTGTCCCAATACATAGTCACAATTTTTTTTTCTTGTTATGAGAGATTTTAAGATCAACTTTCAAATATGCAATACACTAGTGTTACTGTAGGTAGCAGCTAGGAATGAGAGGCTGGAGGGAAAATAAAGCAGGGTGCCTGCCATTACAATCTAACAAAAAACTTAAAACAGGAGGCTGGAGGCGAAAGGGAGACTTGTCTCATTCACTGACCTAGCAGTCCTGAGCCTGGTTTGGTAAGATCGCCAGGCATTCTGAACATCAGAAGCAAAACCACGATAGTGCAGGAGGAGGGGAGCCCTTGAAATTCTGTGTGTATTCATCTCCACTAGCTGGGAAAGAAAGCCTTTGTGACGGTGTATTAATCCCAAGATCTGGAGAAGAAGAGGAGGAGGAGGGACCTAAAAGCCAACTAAAGTATATAACCTCTGAACCCCAATAGTTGATGCACTCGGATTAGCTGGGTGCCTGCTTGTAGCCAGGTGCTCAAGTGTACAGAACAAACTTACCAACAACTTTACTAACAACTTTATTTCCTCTATACATAGGGCATTCTGACTAGCTGAGTGCTTGCCTATGTTTCGTAAATAAACTTGCTATCTCATTTCCACTTTCCATGTTTGTCTCTCGCTTGAATTTGTCTCTTGTGAGAGAGGCAAGAACCGAGAAACAAGCTGGGGTAAGGGGAGCTCCCCAGCACCAGTAGTATTAACTATAGTCACCATGCTGTACCTCACAACCCCATGCCTTATTTATTTTATAAGTGGAAATTTTTACTTTTTGACCCCCTTCATATTTTTTAATTGTATATTTTAAATTTCATTTACAAGCTTTGAACTGGCTTAGAAATCTTGTAACCTTACAGTATTATTTTGAAGGCAGTAAAAAAGTTTATAAAGAACTGAACTCAATATTTTTTCCATAGAACATTCCACAGCATTCTACAGAATAGTCCTTATTGTATTCTTAGCGTGTATTATTTTAAAGAAAAATGTGCCACTTACTCTGCGTGGTATGGAATCACTTCTTCTTGAAAAAACTTCCTTACGCTTTCCCGGAAAATGTCATGCTCTGAAGAGAAAATTCTCCTAGTTCCTATTTCTGTTAATTTTTTAGCAGAAGGAGTTTCAAGGCGTTGTTCCCCTCCAGAATGAGAACATCTTAAAAATATATACACATACATTAAGAAAATTACATGAATTGTTCTTCTTCCTACCAAAATTAATGTCACTGAACAACATGGAAAAATCTTGACTTTTTTCTTCAGAGACACTTTAGAGGCAGACAGAAAGAATCTGAAATTTGACAAACCTGTTCCAGTTTGAGCATCACCACTTTTGATAGGATCTACCTTACCTGGATGAGATTAAGAAGAAATTTACCCTTTTTTAATGATCTTTTCATTTCCAAATCCATAAAAAGGAAATCATACCTGGAACTAACCATAAGTGTGAGTTAAGGTAAAATAGTGTAAACGTGATTGAATATAACTAATCTAGTGGTCAAAGTTCTATATTTTGTATCAGATTAAAGTGCAATATTAACCCCATGCTTTTAATCAACTCTGTGTTTTCCCTCTGGCCAAGTTCCTGCTACAGTTGAAACAACCTTCTCCTGGAATGAGGAGCACACACTGACAATGAGCCACAGAGGACACAAGATAATATTAGAATGAGAAGAATGAGCCCAAGTGGGAACTGCATGACTCTGTTTCAGCCACTTCCCCTCACTTCCAATTCCGTTTCTCAAGAGAAACTGCTTATCTACACTCTCCCCTAGGAATTCCCACCAATTCCCTGTAAGAATCGCTGGCTTGACCAGAGATGGGAAGGTGGTTTTTGAGGCATGACCCTGCCATCTTCTCAGGTAGCCAACAACTGAAATAAAACTACCTTCCTTCCCATCAGCACCTGTCCTGAGTTTGGCTTTCGTGGAGACAGGCAGCCGAGCCTGCGGGTTGTTTATCCTCAATGATATAGATTAAATTATGTAAAATTCAAATATTATAATAAAATAATACTGTTAAGTCTTCATGTCATGTAAAATGTTTACAATACTGCGACCTCCAAATTAATATTTTATCCACAATAATAATACAATTTCAAATAGCAGGTGTATAAGATATAAACTATGTTGATGCTATCATTACATTATAGAGCCAATTTGGGTGTAAATCTAAATCAAAGTGCCCACCAATCTTTATAAGGATTATTATGGAATTACTCAAGATTTTCAGAAACTGACCCTTCCCTCGCCCTTCCCCTTTACTGAGCTTAAAGTGAGGCTGCTATGTAGTTCCTTAGTTTAATGGTCTTCAGACTTTTTCCCCAGGGTACTCTTAAAAAGATTTTGAAAATATATGTATCACTTTGTACATTTTCAAGCTCACATCAAAAAAACATTTAATCATATGTTCAAATATTGCCAAAGAATGTTTTTCTGTTTTGGGTTTCTCTCTTTCTTAGTTGGACCTTGCTTTTTCGTTTTGTCTGGAAAAGACACAGTCTTGTTTATTGGCGATTACCTCATTTTGATCTTTTTTTCTCCCTAAAATGGATGATTTTGTTCTAGTTTATGTATCTTTTCTTAATGCTATAGACTGACTTGTGTCCTCACCCAAATTCCTTTGTTAAAGCTCTAACTCACAATGTGACTGTATTTAGAGATAGGCTTTATCGCTACCTGAGGAGGTAATTGTTGTTAAAAGAAGCCATTACAGAGGGGTCTTAATCCAAAAGGATGGATGGCCTCCTGAGAAGGAGAAAAGAAATCTCTCTCTCTCCCTGTGCAAAAGCACCAAGGGAAGGCCATATGAGGACATAGGGAGAAGGCAACCATCTACAAGCCAGGAAGAGAGTCCTCACCAGGAAATGAAATTGACCAGCATCTTGATCTTGAACTATTCAGCCTGTAGAATTATGAGAAATAAATTGCTGTTGTGTAAGCCATCCAGTCTATTGTATTTTTTTATGGCAGTCTGAGCTACTCCACTTAATATACACTTTGTGTCATTTTGTTTTACATTTGTCTTTTATATGCTTGTTTTAGTTGAGTTTTAATTTAACCTCAGATGCCTTTTAAGCGGTAACCTTTAATTGTAAACATTTAATACTATAATTTCTACACTCATTTTGCTTTTTGTCTTTATTTTTAAAAAAAAGTTCTGGTTGCTACTTGTCATCAAAATTACTTTGAATGTCTTATTCATTTATTTAGTCAACAAATACTTTCTCAGTGCCTATTACGGGTTAGACTGAATAATAGTAATAGTAATGATCAATGACTTTAAAACAGCAAATTATATAATATATCAGAAGGTACTAAGTGTTACAGTAAAGGAAAGTAGAGCAGGGATCAGACTGTGTCTGTCTGGAACAAGGCAGGAAAATGGTGGCAGTACGAAAGTGCAGCCAGGTTTGGTTAAATTGGGAAAATGGGATTTGAGCAAATATTTAAAGATGCTGGAGTTAGCCAAGCAGACTGCAGGTATACAAGAATGTTAGGCCAAGAATAAAACTATGGGAAAGGCTGTGAGGCAAGAGGTATCTGATGTTTTCTAGGGAGAGCAAGGGGGCCAAGTGTGGATGGAGTGAGTAGAGTGAGAAGAAGAGCTGTAGTTGAGGTAAGATGTAATGGGACCGGGACAGGTAGAATCCTTGAAGACCACTGCCATGTTGCATCGAATAGACTAAAAGTACTTTTTCATAATCAAAACAATTGGTTCCAATTTCTTGCTAGTAGAAATAAAACTAATGAACCCATTTGTCCATACAGGTTTTCCATAGTTGGGATTTCCTCCCAGAGGGAACAACGTGCTGAGGCTAAGAAACTGGTATTGTAAGACACTGAATCATTTGTCAAAATAATTAGTAAATAAAAGAGCAGAATTTACATTCAAGTCTGCCTGGATCTTAAAATTTTTATTTCCCATGTTATGTTAAGGAAATCCTTGGAATATTTCTAAGCAAAATACACCAGTACACAGGAAAGTGAAAGAAGTGTCAGAAAGAAGAAAGACTTTCAATTCAGTCAAAAGGGTTCCAGAGATGATACGCAGAGGGTATAAAAGCAAAACATTTGGTGGCAAGTTTGTTGGAACACCCGTTTCTTAAAGATCAAGGAACACGTACTAAATAAACTGGCCCCCTTTCTCCCTTTAAAGGCCAGGGAATCTATATTGAATAAATTGGCTGTTGTTTTCCTAAGCCTAGGCTCTAATTCTTATTAAACCTCACTTACATGATAAAAGGGAAGCAGACTCCTGTTCTGGCAGCATTTGGGAGCTACATACACACACACACAATCTCAGTTGGTATGAAATGAGATTCTCAGATTTTATCTCAGACCTACTGAATCAGATCTTGTATTTCCCTAAAGTGATTAATTCGTATGCACATTAAAGTTCAAGAAGCTTATTTTAATAAAAAGCAAAATCCCTGACCCATTCAGAGGGCCCCTGAGGTCCTTTTCCCAACATTCCCTGTATGGGAAATTTCCTTCCTATACTTCCACCAAAATAACTATAATAGACTTAATGCACAAGCAGATATGAGACTTGATCTGTCTTCTATTTAGTTGGACATTAAGGGATCTGCAAAAGTGTTAGACAATGTCATTCGTCTCATTTTTTGGGGAGGGCGGTGGGAATTTTTCATAAAAATGTTAACGGGTTTATTTTTGTTACTTTTAAATGAACTAAGTATTTGTAAAATTTCTCAGTTTTGTCTATTGATATTGATAGATACAACCCACATAAACAGATAGATGATCTTTGAGATTCTCTGTTTTCAAGAGCATAATGGAGTCCTGATGTTACCAGAAAGGAGGCAGGCTCGGAGCGGAGCAGATCTACCTAGGGCCCGCTGGTAGAGTGTGTGTGTTCTTGCCATTGTGTAAGAAAGATTTCACAATACGAGTGTAGGTGATTGAAAGCTGGGGACAGTGAAACAAAGAAGGGCGTAAGATAGAAGTGCGGAGAGCAGGACCAATAAAATGGCTTTGTTCCGACCAAGATAGCATACAGTATATAAAACAAAGGGGAGTCACTTACGTCAACTAAAATGGCTGTTAGTCACTCATGATACTTTGGTTTAAGAGGAAAATTACCTAAGTCAGAGTAAACACATCTGGCAAGGAGATACACTTAAGATTATCTGCACATGAGGTCAGAACAGCCAGGTCTGCAGAGCGGGAACACCCACAGTCTCCTGGGGAAATTCCCCACTTGGCATCAGGGCTGCCAAGACATTTATCGCAAAGACCCAGAAGGGTGGAGCATGCCACTTTTGAGGTATAACTGAGGCAGGCTCCAGACCACTGCGGAGACAGCTGAGCTCCACACACCAGAGTGCTGCTCCACGCCACGCCCATCTCCCTGGGCGTCAGCTTCCAGGGGCTCTGCCCTGCTGGACTGGGTACTTCATCTGCCCTGCTGCCCACCTGGCTCTGAGATCCTTCCTTGCAAGATGCTGACAACTCCCTTGCCCTCTGTGCTGTCTCCAGGACGGACCTGCAGAATGAGTCTCTGGGGTTCGTTATCCCTCGTTGATTGCTGTGTGTGTGTTACATTTCCCTTAGATTGTTAGTGTGAGTAGGATATTCATGTATGTTGATTCTCTACTTTGAGTGAACCTGCATGCAATAAAAGCTGAGCAAATAGCATAGGTACTGTATGCGACTCCTCTCTAATTCCTTGGTGCTGGCCTGCTCGGCAGGCAGCCCGCTGAGCAGTTGCCCAGCTGACTTGTAGGAAAGACTGTATCACGAACGTACACCTGTGACAAGAAGCAACAGGAGAGAGGCTAGGCAGGGCTGTTTTGTCTCTCTAGAAGTGTTTTAAGGAAAGAAATGATCATAGGAAGGGCTGTATCAGCTCACTGAAGAGTCAGAGAAAAGGGAGCCTTGGAGACAGGTTCAGGGGGTGAGCCCAGGATGAATAGATGCTACCCACTGTCCTGATTGCAAGTCTCCTGGGAACCTTTAGAATTTAGGAGAGGTACACCTGAAAGGGAAGAAGAGTGGGAAGGGAAAGGTGCAGGCATGCTCCCCGGAAGGAGAGCTTGGGCTGAGTCCTTTGTTTTGAGGTTTTTGAAGACTGGGAGTTTAGGGAAGGTCTTTGATAAGGATCTCAAGAGACTATTTTTCAGCTTTTCCAAGTGTGCCTTTCCATAGTCATAGTCTCCACTGACTGGTCAGCGCCAGGGCAGAGGGTCTAAACCACATGACCAGGACAGCAATGTACAGGTAGTGGAAAGGCCACCCTGGATGTGTGTGGGAAGTGGCGGGAGGTGGATGCCAGTTTTGCCTATTGTTAGGCACCCTGGTCTTTCCACCATGGTCACCTGTAAACTCATCTGGCTGTAAACTGCTCCGTCAGTTTGTTTAGCTATCTCAGTTTCCCCATTCCACTCGCCCAGGAATTTTCCTAGCTTCTTACTAACCCGCCTCTCTGAATTAAAAATATTTGAGGATCACGGTCTTACGAAGTTCTCAGGAAGAGCTCAGAAAAGTGCATGTATCCTATAGTCAAGTTACTTTCTTGTTGAAGCCATTCCTACTCTCCTCAAAAATAGCAGGCATTTGTCTTCCAGGTCCCTAAGCATCTTAGACTATAGCAATGCTCTAAGGAGCTAGCTTATCTGTCCTGTTACCCTCATTAATAGCGAATCTTCCCTGATTCCAGTTTATTCAATGAATGGATTTTATGTGTCAGACTGACATCTGAAGATCTGATCTTATAAACACTACCTTAACAGTCACTGAGCCACTTAGAAACTGTCTCCACAAATTCCTCTGCGTTTTATTAATTAAAGCATTTGCTCGTAAATCTCAAGTTAATGTCCTTGTCTGATGGGGTCGGGCCAGGTCTCTCCTGTCCCAGAGTGTCTTCTGGGAGACACATCTCCAGGCCCGTGCTGGTGCTTTCTCCAGATCTGCGAGCCAGTGGGAATCTCGCCCCCTGGCTGCCGAGGGTTGCTGTCTTCAGCCGTAGTTCTCGGGTCAAAGGCAGCTCGAGCTTCCCGTCCAGGGGGGGGTCACCCAACTCCTGCTTTCGGTGTCCGCCGCAGAACCCGACCGGCTGGAGTGGAGCCGAAGAGATAAGGTTTGGGAACCGCCCCCCCCCCCTTCCGGCTTTCCTTTGGTCCAAGTGGCTCCCACCCGGTCCCAGACCCTTACGCACCTTCTCGATCCCCAAAGCCGAGCCCCAGCCCCGGGCTGCAGCTGCCACCCCTCGCATAGGCGCCGCTGGTTCCAAGACCTGGGAAGGGTGTGTGTCGCGCCCAGGCATGGCAGCTTTCTCGGCCAGGACAGCTGGGGCCGGCGGGCACTCACCTCGAGGACCGCGGCGGACACGGTGCACACCAGCCTCCCCACAATCGTAGGGACCCGCGGAGGAGGCGTGAAGCCATGGCTGGGACAACGAAGAGAGATAGGGGCGAAGAATTTGAGTTATTGGTGACTCGGGGGCGGGACAGCCGGTGGGCGGGCTGTCCAAGGGATCGTCCAATTATGCAATCCCTCCTGGAAAACGTTAGGCTACGCTCCCCGCGTGCCCCGCGGAGCTGGAGCCTGCAGCCAAAATGCCCAAGGCCTGCCCGCCTGAAATGTTGCCGAGGCTTGCAACACGTCCCTCTTTAGAGTCTTACGGGATTAAAACAGAACCCTTTGTTCAAAATGGACCCAAACACAAACCCACAAAAAGTTTTTTCTTTTTTTGACATTGGAAATTGACTTACGATCTTCAAAGAGTTGTGCCGTTATTTTTTTTTTTTTCTGGCAAAAATTAGTGACCAATTCCTGGAAAAGAATTAAAATACATTCAGTATGCAAATAAAACTCTTCAGTTCCCCAATATTTCATTTTGAATTCATGTCTTGCTATATTCTGTTTGCTCAAGTCATCGAATGCTGTCATAATTTACCTTTCAGTTGAATGAGGTCTGAGCTATTGAAATTTATGAATTTTTTTTTTTGGTGCTAGAATATCTCTGAAAGTTTTGAACTTCAGAGTTTGCAGAGTGAATCTTGAGGACTTTAAGGCCATTCTAATAATTGAGGACAACTGTCAAGAGTTTGAAAGGGTGCAAGTGAAAAAGAGATTTTGTGTTAGAAATTAAGAACTAACAACTAACAACCCAGAATATAAAGAAGTTAAAAAAGAGAATGAAAACACTATGGGCTGGCCGAAGCTGGAGCCTGGATCCCCTGCACGGAGACTGTCCTGTGAGTCTCTGCTGGAAGGTCAGCGAATTCCTGACAGGGAAACTTGGGGACTATGGTCTCTTTAGAGGTGTTTGGGTGAGAGAACCAGCTGTAGGTCTTGGGGATGGCCTGAAAGGTGGCCTTGGCAAAGTTGTTCAGAGTGGCAGCCTCTTTCATACCAGTTGCCCTCAGCAGGTTTTTGGGCCAAGGGGCCCAGTAATATCAGGGCGACTGGGAGCAGGGATGAGGCACAGAGCTGCAATGGCCTCTCCCCTTGCGAGGGACGGTACAGGGCACGGGGATCTTGATCCCCAGTAGCCTTGCCACCCTGCATCTGTGGACATGGGAACCCCAACCAGGGCCCCACACAGGGTGGTGATTATCTCTTTAAAGCTCTTAACACTGAGATCAGCATGGCCCTTGTAGTCCCTGTGGGCAAGAAATGCCTCCACTTTGGTCCAGTGGCTGGCTCAGGTTTGCTTTTGAATGGGCTTAATCTTCAAAGATTTTGTTTCATTAGCCACATGTATGTATTTTTTTCCTGTATCATTTGAAAATGGATACATCATGTCCCTTCATCCCTAGTGTATATTCCCTAAGGACAAAGGAGTTCTCTTAATTACTACAGCACAGTTATCTATTTAACTTTGAAAAAATATTCTTAAGTAATCTCTAGTTCTTATTCCAATTTCAACAAGTGTGCTAACAATACCCTTTTCTTGTAATGAAGCCTCAGAAATTAAAAAACAGACAAAACCAGTTTAGTTATACAAACAAAGCTTCATTTAGTCCAACAAAGTTTAAAGTAACTTGACATGGGTCATTTCTTGATTATGCCTCTGAAAGGCATACACAAAAGTTGAACTATTTCTCAGGGTTGATATGTAGTAACCACTGACCAATTCCTTATTATTAAGAAAATCCCAATATTATAACCAATCACTGTGAAGAATAAGCAGTCACTGTTTCTTCACTATTTTAATAATATACCCCTGAATCATTCCATGTTATGGCTAGAAAGCTTCCGGTTCTGAAAAGCATCTTTCTGGTGTGTGTGCAGTAAACTTTCACTGATTATTACTTTGGTGATTCATTGGTTTTACTTTGGCTGTTTCTGGACTTTTGACAATTCCTCTTGGTTCTCTTTTTCATTTATGGCACTGACATTTTTTGAAGAGTAAAAGCCAGGTATTTTGTGGAAATAACAGTTTGGTGGTTTTGAAGTTTCCTCATGGCAGAATTGGTGCATAAGGTACATAAATATGATGTTCCCTTCAGTACAATGTGTTAGAATGTCCCCAGTGCTAGTTTGTCCCATTCTTGGTGAGGTTAATTCGAACCTTCTTAATTTTTATTCCTTAATTTGGTTAAAATGGTGTCCACCAGGTGTCTTTACTGTAAAGTTATTATGTTTCAATTTGTGAAATAAGAACAAATATGCTTCTGAACGCAGAATGATCTGAGTGAAAATGAAATGAAAGATTTAGCAAATTACGCAGATAATTTAGGCAAATCACCCAGTATTTCATGAATGCTTTGAGCCATTTGTATTTTTCTGGCAGGAATAAGTCACAGCTTTTACCTAGGAGTTCTACAAGGCATACTTTTATTAATTGAAATGTTAATTAGGGGCCAGAGTAAACAGGGAATGTTCCAGTAAGTGCACGGTGGTAACTTTAGGAGTTAATTTAACAGAAGGGAAAGAAAGATAAGGGCACTGGAGGAGTGTGGAACAAAATTACGAAAGGGTTATAGAAAGGAAGGAAGGACAATAAAGAAACCAGTCTAACTGAGTACATACTGGGAAGAAGTAGAAATTCAGATTCACTGTGAGCTATTGGGTGTAGAGTACAGATTTCCACATGAGACTACACGGGTTTGACTCCTGAGTCTGCGCCTTAACCATTTGTCAGTTGTCATTGTTGGGATTAAGTGAACTGGTATGTATCAGGGGCATGGTGCAAGGGTTTGCTGCATTGTGACGATTCAGTTGTTGTTCAGTATGTCTATTCTTAGTGAGTATCACGCCAGGAAACAACTCATTCCCTTATTCAGTAAATACTTGTTGAGTTTCTCCTAATATTGAGGGTTGAAGCTATATAAGAAAAAATCCCTGCTTTCAAAGGCTTTGATATACAGTTATGAAAATAAGACTGGTATAAGATGATTTAAAATACAAGACACAGTATGATAAATGCAGGCGGAAGCTAACAGTTCAGAGTAAGGAGCTGATACTGTGGGTGGCCTAATTGATTTGCTTCTTTTCTCACTTAATTTTTATGGGATAATAGGAAAAACATGGATCATAGCATTCCACAGACCAAGATGAAGGTTGAAAACCTCTGTCTGAGTTACTTAATTTCTCTGTGTTTCTGTTTTCTTATTTGTAAAGTGGGGATATTAATAGCATATACCTCCCAGGGTTGTGAGGCTAAAACAAGGCAAAGTATGTAAAGCATTCAGTCTGGGAGCAGTAGGAGCACAGTACATGGTAACACCATTACCGTTTTTCCTTAGCTTAATTCTTAGGAGAGGCCAAGCTCTTCCCAAGTTGCCAGGGAAACCCATAGGACCTGACCCTTCCTTCTGGTTTAATTACTGTCATTTACTGAGAAAGGATTTGCAGGACAGAAGATTTAACTTTGGGTGGTAAACACATAATGCAATATACAGATAATGTGTGATAGAATGGTACACTTGAAACTTACATCATTTTACTAACCAGTGTCACCCCAATAAATCTAGTTTTTTTAAAAAAAGGAAAGAATGGACTTGTGGCAGCTGCTCCTTCTAGTTTCCAATATTCAGGCTAATATCTTTATTAGACACTTTAGATAATCCTTTTGTCGTGGCCAGACCTCAGGGTGAGCAAGAGTTCCTAGTGCTTGCTTTAGGTCTAAGTCTACTTTGTTTAGTTTTTTTTTGATGGCTTATTCTTCCTCTTTTAGAGAAATTAGAGAGAGAATGGCAAAGCCTCCTTTCCTAATACCACTTAAGAAAATGCTGCCCTTACCTCTTCTTCATCCCAGAAGAGTTTGTAATCAACATTAGGGATAATTTTTAAAGCTAATACCAATAAAAGCTAAGGAGCAAAAAAGTTTCATTTTCCTAGATTCTAGAACTGAGTACTAATTCTGGCCAAATGTTCTAGTCTGGTATAGACAACCACTAAGAATGTTAGACTTTAAACTTCCTTCATTTTTAGGAGAGCACAGTACTCATTCTTCAAGGGAGAACACAAAATCCCAGACCAGGAAGGAACAGAGGTGTTGTCCAACTCTTTGGAACGTTTAAAATGTGTTAAACTCCGATGATGAATATGGCAGTATCACAGGATCACATTTCAGACACAGGGAAGTTCATAATAGTGGAGCCAAGAATAGTGGACTAAAGTTAAAAGATTATCCCATAATTAAATCAGAAGCCCCTAGGAAGGTGTGGCAAGGGCAGGGCTCAACTGGATTCTTCTGGATGTTGGGAAATTACTCTGGCTTGACTGGTTTTCCGAAAGGCTCCTTTGTACACAGGCTCCTTTGTACACAGGTGCCTTGTGTACAAAAGATTGGAACAGGAACAGACTTGGAAGGTGCAATATAAATTCCCTGAACCTCTATTTACTTGCCCAGAAATGGAGAGTAATGTAGCTATATCATGGGGTTGCTGGAAGGATTTATCAGATAATAGGGATCAAGTGGTTAGCACAATGACAGGAGTATAATAAACATAATAATTATCATAAATGGTAATTATTAAGAAATATTTATATTTTAGAGTGCAAAAAGGCAGAGTAACTACTAAAAACACTAAAAAAAAAAACAAAAAAAACCAAAACCCCTCCAAGTTCAAAGAAGAAAAAAAATTACCCCTAGTTTTCCAATTGAAATATAAAAATTTTTAACCCTTGGAGTGTCTAAAGAAAAACATACCTTCTAACCATATTTAGCTTTCCCTCTCTGAATCTGATAGTTCTCGTTTGCTACTGTGTGAAAACACACTATCTTATGCTTGAAAACTTGTTTGACTGCTTATGCTTCTACTTCTTAGTAAATGTTGGGGTTTACACAGTCCTCCCGGGACTAATGAAAATACCAGCTTCTCTAACCACAGTCAGTGGGCTGCAGTCTGCTTATAAATGTGGAACCCTGACTGATTGGGAACTACTGTTTTATTATTTTATATTTAGTTTGAAGAATATCTTGATAACACACTAAGAAAACTGAATGTGGAATTTGCTTTTCTAAATTTGTCTGATATGTACATATA